TGACCGACTATCATGTGAATTCATGATGCGTTACTACCGCTTGATGGTATTCACACTGGCTGCCTAGTCAGGACTTCTCATCCCAGCCCCAATTTAACTGAACTAAAGAGGTCGAACATCATATTGATTATTATTTTGACTGTCTGAGTGAGATAGCCGTCGTTTGGCAGACCAGTATTAATACTGGGTGATGACTGAAGGTGGAATGAAAATTTGGACCGCTGTCGGATTCGAACTTGCGGACCAGCGAAATAAAAATCTGGTTAGCAGTCGGACCTCTTAGCTCAGTTGGTAGAGCATTGAGCCGAAAACTCGGTGGTCACTGGTTCGAGTCCAGCTGTGGTCAAAATTTTCATTCCACCATCAACCACCACCCGGTATCAATACTAGTCTGCCAAACTACGGCTCAGTCAAAATAATAGTCTGTGGATGATGAATATTTGAGAAAAGTGTTTTACGCTTTAACTAGTTTCATTTGATCTTTGACTCTTAGTTACACTTTCACTTAGTCTTTTAAGGTAGTTTTTTTGCAGCCAACAGATACATGCTATTAAAGGTTAAAGAATATGATTCTTCCTATCTATTGTGTGTTTAGTAAGTGTTGCGGCTAATATGTGTTTGATAGGTTACTCTGTTGATTGTTTGTAATTGAACTCAGTTTGTCCGTGATAAACATAAGAATGCCTATAGTATACATCCTGACACTAAAATAAATCAGTTAATATCTTCGGGCAGCGGTTAGTTTTACAGTCTAGTTTCTGTTTACCTTCTCTTGCGGGTTACTGTGAGCACCTTTTATTGTATCTACACATGACTGAAAAAAGTGTGATCTTCAACTTCCTTTAAAGTTGGTAGACTGCCTACAATATTCAGTAGCTCTACATTAGTCTTTTCCATCGTTCCTGTTGTTACTGTTGCTTTATTCAAACATTCTACTAGTTCTTAGTTAGGTAAATGAAAACTAAGTTTATTTACTGGAAACTGACAGAGTCGTCTTTTTATTTGGCAGTAGCTCAGTGGAGTTTTTGATGAATGAACTACCATCCTATTCGACTATCACTTGTTTCATTGTCAGTGACCATGAATAACGTTAATTCTGTAAAGGTATTTCGGAACATTGTCAATCTTGTTTATCCAAAGGGAAGAAAATCGATATCACTAGTTCGATTCTTGGACACTTTGTTACCGCTGGTCATCTGGCTCCGCCTTGTAGTTCCTTCAAAGTAATTTAAAAAGTGCCTTCCTCTATTTCCAAAGGTTTGCGACTATGTCATTTATGCTTAGCCTAGTTTTTATGTTCAAATCATTACATGTATTCAATAATCTTACCATGGCCAACGTAGTAATAATATTCTTCTGTCTCTGGAAACTTTCTGTTCTACTCTTAAATATTATGGTAATTATATTTCCATATTGATTAACAATAGCATATTATTTGCTTCCAATAAGTTTAAATCCGATTGTACAGCTTTAGTAGATGAAATTGTCGAAAAGAAAATTTTCTTCATTATTTGTACTTCTTTGTTTTATTATTAAATGTAGGAGTTCGATAATTGAGCATTCAGTCACACGTGTAAATCCTGTGCATGTATGTGATGTTCGAATTACACTTTGTCATCACTAGCATTAGTTTTAACCAAATAAGTATATCTGCTCACGCTTTAACTGGTTTTGAATAAATCATCACTTGACTTTCCTTTTTTAGTCTCACTCACTTTAACCTTTTCGTCATCTTATATTTGTTATGGTAAACGAAATGTAAATTGAGTGACGTATCAATAAGCTGTGTGTCGGTTTTCGCTCAAACTATTTCCTTGTTCTATCCTAATTGGATATAAGCTTTCTTATTTATTGATACACGGCGTTTGAAACGATGGGTGCTGCGTTCAAGTCTCAGTGGGAAAAATCTCATACTTCAATGAAACTCACCTATCAGATATGTGGGCTTGAGGGGGCTCACGATGATATCCTATTGCCAAGGTCAAAGTAGATGGAGTGATATCTGAATCTGAGACTTAATAGTTGGAAGTCAGGCGCTTAGACCAATCAGCAACATCGACACTATAATAACAGACTAGATAACGGCTTCTGAGGTCGCAAAATCTGTGTAAGATGAAGATGTTACGGGATTTGGAGATTTGGAGAGAAAGCATCCTAGTTGTTTCAGTGCTTAAATAAAATTTGAAAGGCTTTATCCATAGATAGATCGACTTGCAGCGCTTTCTATGTACGTCTTGTTACACGGCTGTGATAAAGTAGAAGACATGAAGCCATTACAAGGGTTTTGATCACAAATGCCTTCGTTGCATTGCTCACGTTTGCTAGAATCCCCATGTGAGCAATGTTGAGGGCAAGCGAAGGGTAGTAGGCAAGTTAGTCAAGTCAACTGATGAGATTGTGAACCTTAGTTGACTGAGGTGGTTTGGACATGTGCTGGACATACCGAACCATGCTAGGAGAAGTTGGATTAGGTTGGAAGAGGGTTTAGAGTGGTCAGACCAAGACGTGGCACCAGTGAATGAAGTCTCTGATTGCTGTTCTAAGTCGTGTGGGGAGATGTAGACTGTCTGTTTGAGGTCTGTGAGACGAAAAGAATCAATGGTTGAGGACTGTTGGTGAAATGGCTGTTATTTAGCAACACTGTTCTAGATATATTCACCCTTTGATGTCTTCCAAAGCTTAAATGTTCACACTAAATGTTATAATCAAATCGTTTATTCTGTCACACAACTTTGTCTCGTTTGATATCACTCTTATTCTAGTATTCTGTTCTTTGTATACTGTTGTGAAGTGTGTCAACTAGAAACAGTGGACTTATGTGTGAGGTTCTATGTTGATTCTGTCTGTCATGTACAACAAGTTGAAGGATCAGGCAACCGAAGGTTTGACTTTTAATCGTATTATGCAGTAAGCTACAGTTAATGATACGGTATCAATAGACGCTAATTACTTATTTGTTCGTGAGAAATCGATATTTACCGGTTTTCTGTCTAAACGTAGAGTTGCTTTGAAGGTAGAAAAGTGTTTAGTCTTTTGGAATGCCGCATTATCTAAAAACATGCCATGCGTGTCACTGACATTTTTTGCTATTAGGTACCGACAAAACTTATAGTTGAATACTTTTCAACTTTCAAGTGGTTGTGATGCCAACCGCCCCCCAACTTCTTTTAAATATGCAAATATATTCTGATTTCAATCTTTTTTCACGCTATCATGTTTTTTTTATGAAGAGAAATATCAATTTACATTTCTCTTCTATATTTTATTTGTCACCTATACTTATTTGCAATGCGAAGAAAACGTACGCAAACACGCACGAGCACACACACATACACGTGATACAAACTAGGCATAATGAAGAACGAAAACATGGAACTTATTTCATGAGAACTATGATTGATTTTTTGACAATTACCATAGTTGTTTTTTCTTTAAATGTATCGTAATCATACCATAGCAAAACAGCGAGACAGTAGGAAATATTCCCAACTGGCGGTTGGTCGTTATTGATACAACCGGATACTACTCGATTGTTGGATTTCTTCTAACTGATGAGCTACGTGAATTAGGGATTGTTGTTATACGCACCCACAACAGTGTTACACGACTGACTACTGGAATACTCTCCACTCCCCCAGCCTACACTACTGAAAAACACAGAAGACGAAGCTGGAAAGGCAAGACTTATTGCTCCGGGATGAATATTCAGATCCACACTTTACACAGAAAACACCGACCAGTCATCATATGTCTTTCATTCCGTTTCAAACAGTTATCCTCATATGAGATGGATGATGAATTTAGAAAAAAAGAAAGCTTTAGAAGATGTCAATGTTCATTCGTCACACGAACGCTTCCTATTGAGAGAGAAAATTTCAATTTTTATTGATTGAAATAGATGATTTACCAAAATGAAGGGAATACAATGCAATTTTCGCAACAAAAACGGAATAGTACACTAGGTTGAACAAAACACAGATAAACGAAAGCAACATAGAACCTCACATAGGCACATTGGCTCAAATTGCCATAATTCACAATGGTACACAAAGAACAGGTGACTAGAATAAGAGTGATATCAAACGAGACAAAGTTGTGTGACAATAAGCAATTTGAAGATAAAGGTAAGTGCGAATATTCAAGCTTTAGATTTCAAAGAGTTAATACATCTGCACCATTGTGACCGAGTCTCAGGCATATTATTAAGAGTTCATAACCACTGATTCCTTTCGTCTCACAGACCTCAAACAGACAGTCTACATCTCCCCACACGACTTAGAACAGCAATCAGAGACTTCATTCACTGGTGCCACGTCTTGGTCTGACCACTCTAAACCCTCTTCCAACCTAATCCAACTTCTCCTAGCATGGTTCGGTATGTCCAGCACATGTCCAAACCACCTCAGTCAACTAAGGTTCACAATCTCATCAGTTGACTTGACTAACTTGCCTACTACCCTTCGCTTGCCCTCAACATTGCTCACATGGGGATTCTAGCAAACGTGAGCAATGCAACGAAGGCATTTGTGATCAAAACCCTTGTAATGGCTTCATGTCTGCTACTCTTAACGACCGTGTTTGATAGCTGTGAAATAGTGCAGGGCGGACTGCTGCGTGGTAGACTCGTTGTTTTGTAGATAGTTGGACATCTCTCCAGTCGGTGCCACTGCTGTCGGAAGATGGTAAACACCAAACGGGCCTCCTGTATCCTAGCTGAGATTTCGTCAGTAACCAGTCCAGTACATTTGGATCACCTTGGATGCACGCAGTCAAGCACGAAGTTTCAATGCATGCTAAGTTTAAAGCTTAATACTTCTTATAATTGTCATCTTGCGTATATACGCTGTTTGTGTGCCTGCATTTATTTATGTCTCCAGATAGTTACACTTGTCCTGAACTTGTATCCGTCCATCTGTTTCGTTTATTTTATCTTTTCGATTAACTTTCATCATAATAATTTTCACGTTGTTGTGATGTAACTTTCTTTTGTTTACACTTAGGTAGGACGATTTCCACGACTTCGTGAAGAAATTGAACGCATAGTTAATATGCGGGTTCGTGAATTAGAAATAGCTACTAAACAACAAATTAAAATACTGATCGATTTTCAGTTAGCCTATATGAATACAAATCATGAAGATTTTATCGGTTTTCAAAAGTGAGTTAGTCATACCTAGTGAGAATGATAGTTTGTTGAAATAATATATATGTATTAGACAGAGTGCTCAGTCTATCTCTCTACAAATAAGAATTGGTTGAGTATGATGACGTCTTAGAGGGATGTCATCATGTGAGGATATAAGATATGGCAGCTTGGAGCATTATTACTCAGGTCCTGTGTTGATACAGCCTCCGTCTACCTTCCCGCCTGCCTGTCTTTCTATCTTCTTGTCTGTCTCATCAGTTATCAATAACCAGGTTAACGTTGGAAGTTGGCTCCGATATTTTTCTACTTTATTGGCTCTAGTTTTCACGTGAATTTTAATCAAGAGGTCGACATTCCTCCGGACGGTTTAAATTAACAGTCGAAGACTTCCTGGATTGGTTCCACTATCTTACTTTCACAATCCTCATCTTTCCTACAACCCACTCTTATTCCAGTTAACATTTCTGGTTGAAATAGATAGTAGGTTGGCAACCGTAACATACATCTCAACCATATCAAATGGTGAGCGTTCATAAGGACATCATCTGAATTGCCTCTTTTATTTTGTACTCGACACCTTTTCTGCATTATTCACTTGGTAATTCCAACACCTACTAGCGATAATACAAAGACAATGACAATGAACTACTGTTATGTTCTTGACCTGATGGTGTGACTGGTCGTAACTTTAATTGAGATTTTCTGTTAGCACGTATGATTATTGGACTGCGAGAATTGGAAGAACCCTGATTGTCTATCTCTACTATGATTATCCTCCCAAGTAGCACTAACTTCATACTAGCTGACTGAGACAAAAGGCAAGTGGATTCTTCGTGTCCACAATGAGTTATGCATTTTTCGAAATATATATGGGATATCTACAAGACCTAAAGAGGCGTAGGTTGCCGTGTCGGAATGACTGCGATTTAGAAACAAACTTAGTGGAAGTGATTAGTTGTTACTCTTTCACCTCGCATAGGTGCACAAAAGTTACCTAAAGCGTCTAGCAGGTGACCCTTGGACTCTGTGGTCACACTATCATATAAATGAACCATAGATGATCATCTTACATTCGCTATTGGACAGCGTCAACCACTCACTCACCTGCAGCAACTCGAAGTTCTACGCTTGTTATTGTATAGCAGTTTCCTGGTTTTCTCGCTTCCTTTTCAAATTTTTTTTCGCTGATTTATTTTCGTTGCTAATGTGGTTAGAAGGTTTATGTTTTCTTAATCTTCAACTTAATCGGTCTGCTGGACCTAAGGCCTTTCAATTAGTGCTCGTCTGAGGAGTGATCATACAAAATTCTGTCACTGGTAGACCTAAATAAGATATGTTTCATTAGCATTTTCATTTCCACTGTCTTTTTGGCGAATAAACCGATAAAACTCATATGAATGCAAAAATATATCTTGAACACTTTCACTCGCCTTGCTACCTGAATATAACTACACTTATATCTGATCCACTCCTATGAGTCGCCAGGTAAACCGAACACAAGATGAGATATTCTTTAAATCCTTAATGGTGAAACTGGCTTCATTCTTTTTGGTTGTTGTCAGTCACTAAAATTAAACCCCTCACCCTTGATAACATAATATCCGATTATTTGTTTGGTTCTGTTTATCATAAGTTTTATTGATTCAGTTTTATTGGAAAACGTAAATCCACTTATATTATCATAAATGGTAGATAAAGTTCTCTGAATTACAGAATAGATTTACTGCCTGTCAGGTAGTATGCACACACGCACGCGCACCATGTGTGGATTTAGTCATAATAACTAACTTTTAGTATTTTAGTCAACTTTCGATAAATTACTCATCATATAGATGTAATTTATTTCTTTATATGCTGAAAAAATCAACTATCATTTATTAGATAATTTTGACTCGATGGTTTACTATGTAACGTGACAGTTTATTGTTTTGTTAGTTGGATGTAAGCAGTTGTAAGGGAGCTGTGCTTCACCCAGGTTTCGTGATTGTTAGCACTCGTTAGCAAGGCGTATATGTAACCTCAAGGGAACTGATGTTCCGCCTGAGGTTCGAACCCATGTCACCTACTGCTGCAGTCGAAGACATTGCCATTGAGCTATTCGGGTCGCAGTCGACATTCAGTAGGAATGGAATATGTGCATTGGTTAATTTTTGGAGGGTAATGGTGGTTACTCCTGATGGAAGTTACAAAGTTCAGGGAGACATCTAGTTGCTTCTTTTCTCTACCAATCATCATTCAACTGATGCCAATCACCGTAGTCCGTTTTGTTGTGTTATACAGCTATGAGACATGACCGTTAAAAGTAAAAGATATGACGCAGTTTTTATTGCAGGTGTCTTTGAAGCATTGCTCGCGTTTGGTGGAATCACTGTGCGAACAATGTTGAGTTCAGGCGAAGGGTACTAGGTAAGATTGGCAAGTTGATTGGTGAGATGACTCAGATATGTGTTGTCTGTGCCAAGCCATGGCCTTCCTCGACGTGTCATGCTAAGAGAGGTTGGATTAGTTTAGAGGAGGATTCGGGGTGACCAGAACAAGAGGTAGCACCTGTCGATGAAGTCCTCTGACTGTTGGTCTGAGCCGTGTAGGGAGATGTGAACTGTTTGACAAGGGTCCCGAAGATGACGGTAATTAGTGGTTGAGGACTCTTGATGATATGGCTTAGAATCGGTCACAATGGCGCAGATGTATTCACTCCTTGACATCTAATGCTTGCATGTTTGCACTATGTGTTATCTTCAGATTGTTTATTCTCTCACACAATTTTGTCTACTTTGATATCATTCTTTTTCTATCCATCTCTCGTTTTTGTACTGTTGGGAATTGTGGCAACTTAAGCTGACTCGCTTGTTTATGAGGTTCTACATTGATTTTGTCGATATGTCTGTCTGATGCCAATCAGAGTATATCATGGGAACTACTCACGGATTATTCATATGTCCAAAGGTACTGATGTCAAAGTACAATTTATCTAAATGTTTGTGAATTAGTTAAGTGTATATAAGTGAATTGAGTAAGGTCGAGATTTGATTGATACTGTAAAGTTGGGCAAACGGTGAAGCTACTCGGCTATAAAAATAAATGCCATTTTTATGCTTGGGTAATTTGTAAATTGTTCATCCATTTGTAGTATTCATTTTGATCGACATCGATCGAATGAATGTATGGTATCATAATTTACTGGGACACACGTTCCTTCCTGTCTGGGAGTCATCAGCTCGACATACCTACAACCTAGTGAGTGATATTGTTGCTACTGAGACTCGATCCTTGCACCCATCGCTTCGAATGCCAGTGTCATCCACTAGACCACTGAGGCACACGAACCACCTCTTATGTAACGGGTATTAGTTATTATTGTTTGTTGATGCTTCTAAGGGAAATATATGCATCGTCAGTGTCAATTGCTACATAGTGTTAGCGTATCCGTACCATCCAACCTGATAAATATATAAAGCAAAGGAATGTTTATGCGTTACTTATAAATGAACTATCGCTTGAGAAATACTAAAATATATTCTGGACTATAACCGTCTGTTTTTAGGTGTATTTTTCTTGGCGTGCACATTCACATATTTTTGTATTTGCTAATTCAATCCGTTAGTCCTGATCATGTGATGCCGTTACTTATGGATGCTTAATGGTGGTTACAAAATGTTTACGGGGTTAACCATATATAATATATATAACTGACACTTTTAAACATCTCCTTGGTGCATACTGTAATAATGTTAATCTCACTTGTGTGCTGTCCGATGACGGTTATTATTATGTAATTATCTAGACTTGTCTGTATTTTCACATGAGCAAGTAAACAGCTGTTATGTGTATTAATTGTTCCTTAGGTTCAGATGTATGAATGTCATTTTGGTGGTGATGTTAATTATTGGAGAACATATTTCTATCGATGACTAATACAGATCTTAGTAGGTTTTTTGGATCAAAAGAAACTAGAAAACAGGTTCGACAAATTCTGGTGGTCTATTTTACAAACTAATCAAGACCACAGGAATTACTACTGAATGTCTATAAAGGGTTCCAGACGGGTATTTCTTGAAAGTCTCGTGGGAACAGCATAAGTCATGGGTCAGGCCAACAGATGACGCCAGCAACACCGACGAATGATACCGACATAGGTTCGCCCAAAAAGATGGTAACGTATCGGGGGTTGGATTAAAATTCCGTACACAAAACAGACATATACTACTGCAATGTTGTAAACTGGCTGAGGAAACAGTGATCTATGTCCTCTAGTTTTCAGTACTTCGTTAATCAGGCGAATATTATTTCATTATTATACAGCAAATAGTAAAGTTGAGGTAGTCCTCTCCGAAAAACTGTTAAAATGTTGATGTGGTGAGCAATTGTTTTTACTGGCTTTAATGAATCAGTTTTCATCCTCGTGTGCTGTTGAAAATAGAAGTCTAATTCTCACTTAGCGTAGATAACTTTAAAGTTATAATTGTAAGGCAATAATAAAATGTAAGAGATTATCACGCGTACACACACACACACACACACACACACACACACACACAGAGCTACCCTATCATTAGTCACAATACAGGTTTAGTCTTCATCTGAATAGTTTTTATGCTTACTGTTTGTGTGATCTTGTAATCACGTATATTACTAGATTCAAAACTTTCTGCTATTTGATTTCATGTTGAGCTGTAGTTTGGAGAATATCACTCAGTAGTTGCCTGTTTTCTCTTGGTTTGTGTTGATTTGAAAATGACGTAAAATTAGGCTTCAAACACATCCAGTTTATTACATCTACTTGGGTTAATGGTATAGTTTTGCTATTTGCACATAAATATATGTGTAAACGTCTCATAATGGTTGGTGCTAGAATTCATGAGTATTCGGGAATAATCAATAAAGAAATTACTATCTATCTTCATCAAAAATCTTAGTTTTATGTTTCTTTTTACAGTAACCATACCCGAGTCAGATCGTGTTCCAACTTTTTGTCACATGTTTTAACATCAATTAGCCATACACACACACATAACCTTTGCCAGTTGTTTTACATGTGAGTTTAAAGCACTTATACTTTACTCAAGTAGGTTAGTTATTGGCGAACAATGAGTTAGTATAATTCCATATTAAATTGTTTATTTGATAAAAGACAAGGTTTTCGATAAGGTTGTCAACCTTCAGCGACTGAGATGAGTTGAACTTGTATTGCGTATGCTGAACTGCCGCCTACCTGGACGTTCAATGCTAGAAAAAGTTGGATTAGGTTGGAAAAAAGGCTCATGCTGTCCAGACCAAAACGTGACAGTACACAAAATCTCTGACTTTTGCTTTGAACAATGTGTCTGGGATTCCCTAGACGATAGAAATAAGCAGTTGAGGACGTCTCTTAGTGACATGGCTCTCATACACCATCGTCTATTTTGATATCAGTCTTTTTCTATCCACTTTTTCTTTGAATGCTACTGGGAAGGGTGGCAAATCGAACCAATACACTTGTGTACAAGGTTCCTACATTGATTTTCTTCTTCTCTCTCTGTTTATGGCACACAGTGATACATCGTTGTTAGTTGGATGCTATTTCGCTCACAATTTATTGCTCATTATCATATCAAGCTGAACAATACTGTAACACTGTGTTTCCTATCAAATAAATCATCTAATGTTGAATTATACTCTAATCACAGTCTTCCGGTTTTACTCTTACATCAACGAGTTGGCAGTTTTTGTTGGCTTATACTGACAACTTTGCTTAAAATCGATATTTTGATATTTTGCTTCCTCTTTCATTGTATTTCCAACATCGATAATTGTTTATCTATATGTGCTCAGGTGGTTTAGATGAAATAGTCACATTGATTATAATCTCATGGGGTAATTTTTGAGAGTTTGTTGCGTGGGCCGATGGTATACAGTTCTACTCAGTTGTCTTTGTTGTTGTTTTGTATCGTAATTATTATGATTATGAGTGTTTATCATTACAGTAGTATTTTCCTGAGGCTTCTCACATAGGTTGATCATTTAAAATAGACGTATCATAAAATAGGTGGATTTCATGTCTTCTAATGAAAATAATTTTCTACTCCATTCTTTTCCAATTCCTTAGTGCTGAGCAGCGAGTGAATGATAGTGCGAAAAGTAAACTTGGGAATCAGGTATGTGATATAGTACACATCCTTATCGTTATTGTTAAGGTTTAATCTTCGAATATTGCTTGTTGGTCAGTAATATTAACAAAATAACTCTACACTTGGTTTACTTGCATCATTTCGCTTTTTGAATGCATAAAGAAAACTTAAACCTCCTGGTAACTAACGCCTCAACCAACTATAAAATACGTCCCCCAACAGGTCTTACTGATGGGTTTAAATGACGTTTGTACATCCATTTCATGCCCCTTTTCCGTACTGTGTTTAGCTGTATTTGACCACATATACATGGGTAAGACTCATCGGTCATTAAAAACAAGAGCCATGAAATATATTTCAGAGTAGCTTCAGCAACTGACCCAACTGATTCTGGAAACAAACATCCGATCTTCTCAACTGCTAAACATATTACTGAAATGGGCCATAAAGTGAAGGTACAATCGTCATTTGAACCTATCTATGAGACCTTTTGAAGGATGTGTTTTAAAGTTTGTACAGGCATTAGCCATTAGGAAGTTTAAGCTACCTCTATGCTTTCAAAAACAATTTGTTATTTCGTTATTTGATGTATATGTACTGAAAAAGTATTTTGTCCTATCTGATGTTTTTCTATAAAGAAACTGTTACTTTTGCTTAAAAATTTTATTCCTCATTCTGTAAAGGATAACTTCATAATATTACACAAGAAGTGCAATAATTTCATGGAATCTTTTCGAAGAATCTTGGATTTGACTGCTTGTATGGGCTAGAGTTGGTCGATACGGTTGCATAATGCTAATTACAATGGTCCAAGTAATTGAACCCATTGAATACGTTAGTCATCTTAACAATTCATAGAGTTATTAAAACATGGTCAAAGAAAATTCGGTTTGCATTTGCCTTTTTTCTCTCAGTCTTACGGTGACATGACATCAGTTTTCAATCAATGAGACTATGGTGAATCACTGTTAAAGGTAGACGCTATCACGAGACTAGCAGTTATCGAAATTCTTCGCTTCTATAACATCGATCGTGAAATATGAACGTAGCAAAGGAGTTATATCAAACTTAGTTGAAAGATATTTGCAAAGTCAGTTAGTCAGTCATAATCAGTATGGAGCTTGACATCGTCGCTTAACCATCCGCGTTACCACACCTCATACCAGCGCATTAAGGTGGAAGGATACAGAAATCAAGATGAAACTTATCAAAATTAGTTGAAACTTGAGGAAAGAGAACAAAAAGGTATGAAACAATGCAGCAATTCGATATGAAGACTGAGATGATGATAACTTATGGATATATCTGTGCCATTGAGATTGTTTGTTAGCCATATCACTTTAGAGTCTCTAGCCGCCGGTTTCTTTTGTCATGTGGACTCCAACCTACACTGTTCAGCCTAATGGTCAAGGATTTCATGCACTGATGCTATTGTTTTACTTTGACCGCTCCTATCCTTTTTCTAGCGTATACTGAGTTCAGCTAACATTGCACAACTAGACAGACAATGACTAGGCATGTGTAACACATGACCCGCCACCTGAATCGATAAAGATTCACAACCTCACCAACCGACTTACTTGCTAAGAGTAGTAAATAGTGTCGTTAGGGTATGTTTTGAGTGCTCAGTCACCACTGCATTTAGCTACGGTGGTATGAGGAGTATGTTGAAGTAAATTATATTATTATTAAGCAGAGAATTGTAGGTAAACAGTGAAATTACTCATTGTTGATCACACCGATAAATGTGATTTTTTCGCTCTTACTAAAAGAAGATAAGTAGTGATTCAGTACCTGTGCTTGTCATATAGAGATGTATCCCCCCTCTCTTTTTTTCCATGTAAATAGTTTAAGTCTTAAAGTTCTAAGTTTGTTTTCTATTTTACCTTGCATTTTACGAAGTGTTTTCATGCTCACCTCTTGATATTTTTTTGTTCTATTCACAAAAGGTGCATTGTTTTGCATTGTTCGTGATTTTATGTGAAAGATAGTATTTCTGTTTCCATGTGAAAGGGGATTAATTTTTGCTGATTTTTTCTCGTGAGACATCTCTTCGTAGTGTAGAGTTTTGCACTGTCTATTAAGGGTCAAGTGTACTATACTTCCGTTCTGTGTATTCTACTGTATAGCTATGAAACATGACCATTAAATGGTGGTGGGTATGAGAAGGTATCTTGCGTTTGATCACCATTATCTTTGTATTGTAGGCCGTGCCTCGTGATGTCAACACGTGCCACAACAGAAACCTGTGGTTGGAGAATGTGTCTCAGAATCCGTATCAGTGACGCAGATGTATCCACACATTATCCTCATCTTCACCGCTATACTGACTCAACATTTTCTTATTCATGCTTCGTCTCCTCTACTATTGTTTACTACGTTTGACCGGTTCTTCTTTATTCCTCTGCCTTTCATGTTGGTGCATTGTTGCTCGATGTGCTGCAATGTGGTTTTGCAACTTGAACCGTTACGCAATGATGTATGTTCTTATATTAGTGACGATGATGACATAAGAGCAAAGTTAGTCAAATAGATTTTTAAAAACTTAAGTTAATAAGAGTTACTGCTAAAAACATTTGGACCTCAAAATCTTTTAGGCGCATTCCTGAGTGAAATAAACTGTTCTGCATGATAGTTTTGATGCTATCTCAAGATTCTTCTCGTTCAAAGTCACCTATAAAGTAAAAAGCAACCTTCCAAAGGCTGTATGTCTTCATATTCTCTGCATCACCGAAGCTCTTGCTATCCACATGGGAAAACCTGTACTGTGTGCATAAAAGAAGATTGTCCAATTCCCTACTCCTTTCATGGTCTTAGTTTTCAGTCTTTGAAATCTCCTCTGACCCCCCCCCCTCCACCCGTACCTTTTCTTTTCATTTTTCTATTTTGACACTATTCACTCCTTAGGTAATTTACTACTCATTTCTGTTGCTGTGCTCTACCTGATCACAATTCAGTTTCCAATTATGTCGTCATGTTACGAAACATCTTGTCCAAAAATATTTTGATTAATATTCGCTACTCATCAGTTTTTGGTTTTGTGATTTGAATGACAGTTAGTTTGTGTTGTCATGCTTGACAAACTGTTTTTAACTGTCAAATCCTTATAGTAGAAAAATGTATAAATTTACGATCGTACAGCTTTGAAAGTGAAATCGCGGAAAAAAAACTCTTCCGTCGCTGAAATGTACTTGTTCTTCTTTGATAATTTTGTATCGGTGCCAGTAAATCATTTCACACTAGCTTTATGATTTCTGTTTTAAATGTTCCCAGAATGCAGGAGGTGATCTCTCACGAACTAAGGTTTCTGTTATCACTACGGTAAGATAAATAATTTCAACAAGCATGTGTTTTCACTAGAGTTTCATGAAGTTCAACTTGTAAACTTAAACTTCTGACGCGTTATCGCTTACACACACTCTCACATGCAGTGTTTTTAAAATTATCACTATGTGTATTCAGTAAGCAAAGAATGTGGTCCCTGTTACGCAACACATTATTTCCAAATTGCATCATGGAAATCGGTATTAATAAATAAACAGGTAAATTACTATTCGTAGATATAGAAAAATTGTCTCAAAGTTGGTTGATTTTCTTACTTAATTATGTGATTTATGTTAGATTGAAAAGAAGTTTTCGCCCGCCTCCATAAGAACCATATTATCCCTATGTGTTTACCTTACCATGACGTCAGTAGCCTGCAACTCACGTCACATGAATCAACTAAATTGTGTGTACCATTTGTCCACTTCTGTATTTCAGGTCATTTGCAAAGGATGGCTTAGTTTGATCAACCCAAGTCTATTACGTGGTGGCAGTCGTTATTGTTGGTTTGTTCTAACCGCGGATACTCTGACTTGGTTCAAAGATGATGAGGTACGTGTTTGTTGTTTTATGTCTCTATGTCTCATGATATATGTTCAGTTCACCTAGTTGTATGCATATTCATTCCTTTTCACTTCACAGTTATGATGTGTTCTGTTCTACTTTGTTCTAACCCTTATAGATTACATGTTTATTTTGTTGTTATGTGATAAATTTATTCCATGTCAGTTGGAATTATTTTAGATGTAACCATTGAGAGAAATATATACACTAAAATACATTACATGGATATTATTTGTGTCTGTTTTCAGCATAGATATCATATTGACTGGTCAGCGCCTTCGTTCATGTTTTACATTTTTTTATATTTTAGGACAAACTAGAAAACTGCAAAGTATATATATATATATATATATATATATATATATATATATAAATTAGTTGTTCTCTAGTGACTAGTCAATACATGTAAACCAGTCCTGCAGGAGGAGGTCAATCATGGCCCAAATAGCTCAATGGCAACGTCTCTGAGTGCAATACTCGGTGGCACCAGTGTGAATCTCAGAAGAGACTTCACTTCCCTCGAGATTGCAGACCCGCCTAGCTGACGAGTGCCAACTAGAATGAAACCTAGGTGTAGAGTAGCTTTCTGACATTTGCCTCCAACCAACTATATATATACATATATATATATATATATATATATATATATATATATATTGAGCGATGATTGAGGGTGGAATGAAGATTTAGACCGCAGTGGGATTCGATCCAGCGACCGTGTAGTTGCCAGCCCGGTGCTCTACCAACTGAGTTGATATGGATCCATCTATCTATTCGTGATCATACAGTATTTATTACTTCTGTTCTATTCTATTTTGGTTGTTAACTCTGTGTGCTGTTGACTTAATAATATCCCATAACATGTTGTTGATGCCTTTCTCTAACTGGTCATTAGTTGTCGAGTGATTTATTTTTCATTCTGAATAATTAGCTATGTTGAAACATTTGAGGAGACGAAATGAAATTAGGATTCTTTTTCATCCAAGCTGATGATGTCCGGCTGTAAAAGCAGATCTCAAATGTATTTCTTTTGAATCATAGGTGTGTTGATTCATGTGTTTATGAGAAGTTATTTATTTACTTTTTGGTTTGGCACCGTTGATTTAAATTATACTTGATTTTATTCATTACTGGTCTCCATTGGTGCGTGTTTGACAATAGGGAGTGAAATGGTTGAGCACTTTGACCACTTCACTTACCTGGGAAGCTAGATCAGCCTTGGTGGGTTATTGGTCGATGAAATCTTTGGATATAAAAGGCTCGACTAACTTTTACAAACTTACTCCACTTATGGGACTACTGTGACATCCGATTGTCTATTAAGAGTCGAGTATGCTGCGCTGCGGTTTACTCTTTCCTACTAATATGGCTATGAAACATTTCCATTAAAGATAGAGGCTATGGGAAGGCTTCAGGACTTTCGTCTTCCGTTACCTTCATAGCATAGGCCGTTTGTCACGGTTTCATCAGGTCAGTAATGCAGGCGTAGGGTTTCAGGGAGGAAAGAAAAGTCAGTTGATGGAGTTGTAAACCTTCATTGGCTCAGCTGACTGGGACAAATGTTACGCATGTCTAGTCGCCATCTGCCTCGCCGTTCAATGTTACCTGAACTGATTAACTTTCTGGAGTGGACGTCACATGTAGATCAATTGTCAAAGGATAATCAGTTCCATGAACATCAGTCGCATAACTATTAAGTACATACCTCACTGGCATACTATAGTGTTGAATAAGATTGCCCAGATCCTCATGTGAAACCTTTAATCACTGAAGCTTGTCATAGTTAACAGTGTTACTTTGAAGCTTTGAGAAAAAGCACTTAAATCTACGTGTACATATTAGATTGTCTAAAGAGTCAGTTTTAATGGGATATGACCTTCCAAAAAGACCTGGGAATTGTCAAGGCCATTGTAAAGCGTTGTTTTATGTACATATTTGGATGCTGGAATATACCTGTTATCCCACCTTCTTTTCTATTTACCGAGAAACGGAGCGGTGGGGAATGCTAAAGGTTATTATTCAATTGTCCTCTTTATATATATATATATATATATATATATATATATATATATATATATAACCTGGAGATATCAAATGCTATCGATAGCCTTGAAGTGTAGCTTGTGTCCCTTTCGCTACTTATTCCTCAGGTCTTCCAAATAAAGTGTTGTTTCTTCGTTATTATTCATTTAGATCCTTTTCAAAACGTATTACTTTTTAATACCTTCTTCTGGTCACTACTCACAACAAAGTACAATAACAGTAAACTGTACTTTCAAATGCCAATTGGATCACCATCATTATCTCTTCAAGACTTAGCAGTATACATTATCTCTTAAAATCATAGAAATTGGATTTCCTGTTTACTATTTTTCTTTTGATTCATGTTTTTGTTACTATGCTTATTTAGATGCGTTTTTCCAGCGTTCTATGATCTCCAATAATATGTTACTCAATCCAATACCTGTGCATGTGTGTGTTGTTGTTCTCTGTCGATTACTTCATACTATCGGAATGTATGTAGAGAACAGGGTTAGATTTTAGATTGAAAAAAACAATTTATTCACTTGTTTGTATAGTTGACAGTTATGTTTACTCTGTGTGAGTGTGCGTCATATGTGTTTGTCTGGTTTTGATGCCTTTTACTTAGTTAGCAGATGGTGCATACTTTGTTGTTTGTCTATTATTTTCGTTATTTTTGCTATGAAAATAAGCTGAGAAACAATTTTATGCTATAATCGGTACATATTACACTAAGTCACACTTGTAATTTTGTTCTACTGTGTTTTACACTATCAGATGTATCCAGGACCTTTATTTAGAGCTTTAACACCTAACCTGAGCAACTGGCTTTATAATATACCTTGTCGATGACTTGATTGATAAATCATTCATTTGACTGTTTACTAACAGAATGTTGCTCAGTGATGGTTAGGACCAGACTATTATGTCAACATAAAATAGGTGTCAAAACTTAGTTTGATTATTTTCTTTTTCCTAGATAGATTCTTGTTCTAACGGATAATGGATAGAATTATCCAAGGTATTGTTTACCACAAGACAACACGGGAAGAGAACTAACCATGGGTCGAGAGGCGCTAGGTGAAATGAATGAGAATGGAGAATTGTTTGCAGAATTCTGTGCATTCAACGATTTGGTGATTGGAGGCAGTGTGTTCAGGCACAAGGATATCCACAAAGCGACATGGATTTCACCAGATGGACACACTAAAAACCAAATCGACTTTATCTCAATCTCAAGAAAATGGAGACGCAGTCTACTTAACACAAGGTCAAGAAGAGGAGCAGATGTAGGTTCAGACCACTATCTAGTGCAAGGAACCTTCGAAATCAAGTTAAAAGCCTTCAAGGAAGCTGGTGATAGACCTCAATTCAAGTACAACACTCGGAAACTGAAGGATGAAACTACAAAGGAGATCTTCAAAGCAGCCATCAAGACAAAATGGGAGACGTCGAGGGACATCCCTGAAGAAACCTGTGTAGAAGAACACTGGAAGTCTTTGAAAGCTATGTGGAAAGAAACCTGCACAACAGTATTAGGAAGGAAGAAGAAAGAAGACAAGGAATGGATCTCGACGGATACCTGGAAGCTGATAGAGGAGAGGAGGATGGTGAAGCAGAAGATAAACCAGTGCAAGGATGCTCAACGACAAGAGGAACTGAGCACAATGTATAAAACACTGGGACAAAGAAGTGAAGAAGAGTGCACGCAAAGACAAAAGACACTTCTACGACACACTGGCAAGTGAAGCAGAACAGGCTGCAGGTAAGAGAGACCTGACGACATTGTATCAAATAACCAGGTTGCTATCAGGGAAGAGACCAACACAGATGAAACCAATAAAAGATGAAGAAGGAAATTTAATTACAAAAGAAGAGAAACAGAGGAAACGATGGGCCGACCACTTCAAGAAGCTCTTGAATCGACCACCACCTGCACTTCGTCCAGAAATACCACCTGCAGCCGCTGAATTACAAGTGAACATAAATCCCCCAACGAAAATGGAAGTCCTGAACGCCATAAAGCTACTGAAATGCGGGAAAGCAGCAGGACCAGATGGAATACCGCCAGAAGCACTGAGAACAGATGCAGAGACAACAGCGGACATGCTCACACCACTATTGCAGAAGGTGTGGAGGGAAGAGAAGGTACCTGACGATTGGAAGAAGGGTTACCTTGTCAAACTGCCGAAGAAGGGAGACCTCAGTGCTTGCAAGAACTGGCGAGGAATCACTCTCCTATCCACCCCAAGTAAAATATTAAGCCGCATCATCCTGGAGAGGCTTAAAGACGCACTGGATTCAAAACTGCGACCGGAACAGGCAGGCTTCAGGAAGTACAAATCATGTGCTGACCAAATTGCAACGCTTCGTATCATCATAGAACAGAGCGTAGAATGGCAATCAGCTCTATACCTCAACTTCATCGACTTTGAGAAGGCCTTTGACAGCGTCGACCGAGAAGTAATTTGGAAACTGCTTCAATACTACGGAGTACCGCAAACCTTTATCCGCCTCATTCAACAACTATATGAAGATGCCACATGCCAAGTAATCCACAATGGGAAGCTCAGTGATGCCTTTGAAGTGAAGACAGGAGTGAAACAAGGTTGCCTACTATCCCCCATGATATTCCTAATTGTGGTGGACTGGATCATGCAGCAAACAGTAGGCAGCGAGAAGAGGGGGATACACTGGACGACGGAAAAGAACCTAGAAGACTTGGATTTCGCCGATGACTTATGCCTAATGTCACATAAACTTGAAGATCTGCAGGCAAAAACTAACAAGTTGACAGAGGAGGCAGCTAAGACGGGACTTCAGGTGAATATAGAGAAGACAGAAGTGATGAAGATACCGCACCACCACCATCAACAACAACAACAAACTCCAATCACCGTCAACGGTAGAAACTTGAAGGAAGTAACCTCCTTCACTTATCTAGGAAGCACTGTTTCAACTACAGG